CTTGCGTATGTGAGCGTGTGAGTGTGTGTGTGTATATGAGTGTGTGTGTGTCTGTGTGTATATGAATGTGTGTGAGTGTATGCGTGTGTGAGTGTGTGTGTGTGTGTGTGTTTATGAGTGTGTGTGTGTGTGTGTGTGTGTGTGTGTGTGTGTGTGTGTTTATACTTGCGTATGTGACTGTGTGTATGAGTGTGTGTGTGTCTGTGTGTATATGAATGTGTGTGAGTGTATGCGTGTGTGAGTGTGTGTGTGTGTTTATGCTTGCGTATGTGAGCGTGTGAGTGTGTGAGTGTATGCGTGTGTGAGTGTGTGTGTGTGTGTGTGTGTGTGTGTGTGTGTGTGTAAATGTGTGTGTGCATGAGCATGTGTGTGTGTGTTACATTTGTATTCCTCCCAGCTAAGATTGAGTGTTGCTCTCTGCGTCTTTGCTCCCATTTGCAGCAGAGATAATAGAGTTCATTTCCAGTCGTCGTTTTTATTTAATATCCACGTTCTTATTTCCAACATCCTCTAAATCCAGGAAATAAGTGCCTTTTTTCAGGAGCCTTTGAGTGAAAAGTGTTTCATGGTGAGTGGTGGAGGAGAGGTTTTGTGCTCCTTTATTTCTCTAACTCCATGAAAACTCAGATGTTTTTTGTAGCTATCATGAAAGAAAATCAGATTCAAACATTTTTTTACCTAAATGCTGAAAGCAGCACCCAGTAGATTGAAGGTAGTCCTCATCCAGATAAAGATGTACCACGTTTTCATCACTGTTTGTACTAACTCACTGTCTGGTTCACTTGTGCTCTAAATATCTGAGCTCATTCAACTGAGTTCATTTCTAATCATGACAAGAGTCGTCTCAAGGCACTTCACAAGGGCAGCAGTAGAAGAAGAAGAAAATATCATTTCTGTAGCGCCTCTCAAGATAAAAATCCCGAGGCGCTTGGTAGGTAGCTCAACAGGTTGAGCAGGTTGTCCAGTGATCGGAAGGTTGCTGGTTCGATCCTGGCTCCGGCCAGAGAATTCTGCTGTTGTGTCCTTGGGCAAGACACTTAACCCAACTTGCCTGCTGGTGGTGGTCGGAGGGACCAGTGGCGCCTCTGTCAGTGCGCCCCAGGGCAGCTGTGGCTACATCGTAGCTTATCACCATCAGTGTGTGAATGTGTGTGTGAATGGATGAATGATACACTGTAGTGTAAAGCGCTTTGGAGTCCTTACTCTGAGTGGCGCCATACAAGCACGGGTCATTTATCATAAAGTGAGTTCAGGTCATTAAGCCAATCAGAAATAGTTGCAGGAAGAGAGAGCAGTTATTCTCAGGAAGGTTTTTAGAAGCAGCATCCTCCTAAGGGGATTTGTTCATCTTAGATTTACTCTTTTTTGTATTTTTTTATTTTGAAATAAACTTTTTGGAAAAAGAATCCTCATTCTCGATTCTTAAAGGTCTCTTTTAGCCTTTGAGTGGGAGCCACGACCAGATCTGACAGAAGAGGTAAGCCACCTTAAATTGCTTGTTCCTGTGCTTCAGGACTTGTTTTCAGGTTGTGACAGATTAAGAAAAGATACCTTAGGTAGCGGGAGTTAGTCTCTCCTCCTCCCTCATGCAGCGGGACATCCTAAGGGTTATAAACCACAATGGTCCGTTGGTTCAAACAGGCTCTGTTCTGCACATGTGGAAAAGTCTGTGTTTAGCGTGGGAAGGAACCATTTCAAAGGGTGGATTAATTAGACTAATTGATAAATCCATGTTAGCCTGATCAACTAACAGGAATCATTTTCTAGTTACCATCGCCCACATATGCTGACAGAGGCGCAAATTAATCCTGATGGGACCCAAATAAGAGTTGGCTGGTTGGCCTCCAGCAAAACTTTCGCCTCCGTATTCAGAACCACTGAATAACAGGAAATTAAAAGGAAAGTGTGTTGTCACAGAAGAACAAGTACGGCAATCTCCATTCCACCTTAAAATAAAAAACGAGTTCTAATTAGGGAGTCCAAACCAGGGTCTGTGCAATAAAACTCACCTGCGGCCTCATTACCCTGAAAAAGCAGCGTATTCTAAGGTTCTAACGGAACCACTAAAAGTGCACGCTCGCTACACGGCGCCCAACGGAAAAGGGGCTTTGAGTGAAGGTAAACACTAGATACCGGACTCACCGAAATAGGACTGTTTTCTAGGCTGACAAAAGCTCGCGCACCATGGACCTTGTACGCTTACAACCTTGGAGTAAGTGAAAAACCGCACCATCTCTCGACAAGGAAAGAGATAGGGAGAACGGAGGATTAACTGAAAGAAAAGGTAGAAAAAAAACTACGGCATTCCGATGCAAGAAAATCCATGGATAAACTAGGAAAAAATAAAAATAATAATAAAACGTAAAAACTAATAAATAAATAAAAAATAAGAAAAACTTTTAACCAGCCATGACAGATAGATCTTTAACAGTAAAGCCGGAAAATATTCTCCCTAACGTGAGATTTGTAACCGGAGAAATAACCACATATCAAGGTGGAC